GCGTGTACAGGGGGGGTCCAGGGAGTCCGGACCGCCCCTTGCTCGCGCAGAAAACGCATCTGAGGGGGTCTAATTTTAAAAAAATTCGGGGGGAGTGCCCCCCAGACCCCCCCTTCGCGTGCTCGCACTTTTGGGTTACGGTTAGACCCCCCCTGGTACAAATCCTGTACACGCCCTTCCGAGCAAATTGCCAACATTGAAAAACGAACCCCCCCCAATAGAAAGCTGGCTACGGGCCTGTTAGTATTACTAATACTAAATTATATTGCTGCAGTACACTACAGGTCATAATGTGTAGCTAATTACTATTATTTCCGCAGTACAGCAGCACAATGGCAGAGCACAGCATAAAATTCATTCAACAATCGTCCGAAAATGAATCTCTAGTCAGCGTTCACAGTAAAGCATTTCAGGTAAACATTTGTGCTGTATTTTGGTGTTTGTGTCACTACTGCTAGTTATACTGTTGGTGCTAGTGTACGCATATCAGCTATGTGGTGTCAGTGTTATTGTTGTTTATGAAAGGTTTGTGCATTAACTTACATTTCTGAATACTTAGCAATGGATTATATATACTCCATAATGCAACAGGGTGCGAAATTAACGGGGGTCCGGAGTCAAATACTCCCCAATTTACTGCCGGACTCCTGGATTTGACATATGCAGGAGTCCGTGTGACTCGCTGAAAATTCTGCCATACTAACTAGTTTGTTCCAGAGCACAGCCTCGCGAAATTACCGTATTTTTTCAGCAAATGTCCAAAGAAAATTTGACAGACGTACAACCGCATGAATCTTCAAAATAAGCACATCTTTAATTTTGAACTTTAGACTGCGGACTCCCTCATTTTGCCGCGGACTCCCTGTTTTTAAAGGGCAGGGAGTCCGTTGGACTCCCTTGTTCAAAAGTTAATTTCTACCCTTGATGCAATCAAGTGCAGTAATATATAGCAGGCATATGTATTATGTATCTCACACAAACTTTCATGAAGGAGCTACATGCTAGGGTGCAGCTAGGGATCTTTGTCAGATGATATCGCTAATCATATGTTACTCCACAGGCTGTGTCGGATAGCCAACTGGAACCTGTGTGGGTGTCAGAGCAGGAATGTCTTGCATTGAACAGAAATGTGCGCGGGGATGTTTACATTATGCACACATTCAGTGGTGCAACTTTTGAACACCTCCAAAAACTAGGCTCGAGGTATGAAATATTTTGATAAATGTAATATAGTCTAACTTTATTCTCACATTATTTGAAAAAAAGGTTTAATGTGATAAGATAGAGCTGTCATCAAAAATCTAATGCTTCACGATGATTGTATCTCTTTTAGGATCGTTGGACCAAGATGTGTACTATGTTGCCTGGAAAAAGAAATTGTAAGTTGATGATAGGTCCATCAAATCTCTATGTTGATAAAGTTGCAATGTCAGCACCATTAATTCTTCGTGCCACGTTTAGTACTTCTGTTAGTCTGGAGGCTTGCTAATTTCATAGATGCCTGCTGTACATACCATTTCAAAAGGCAAATATGAAACTCGCACTGTAACAAAGCCATAAATTGGTAAAGACACCATCCAGGCCGCGAAATTACCACCGGCATATGCCGGCTAATTATTTGGAGGGCCGGTAACAGGAGGTCTCCGAGCCGGTGGTTTCAGCCGTGTTAGCGAGTACCTACATTTTTATTTCTAGCCTACATTATTTATAGGAAATAGCCTACATTACTGCTTTACCTGAAGGATATCATGCCATAACAGTTAACAAGTATCAACATTTTACACATTTGAAATAGAGAATGCAAGCGTGGAACATGAAATTGATTTTACAAACAAGTTTGTGACGGCTGGTAAAAATTACTGTTAATCAGCCCTCTGCATGGGCCGGTGCAAAAAATTGAAATTCGTGCCCTGTCATCCATTGCGAATTGAGATGATAGTCTGGTTGGTGATTGAATGAAAGAAGTTTTCAGGAAGTTTGTCGATGGTCATTTTATGCAGGCACTGCCCAGAGTGAACCACCCTGTGATGTCAATAGTGATGCAGCACATGATTATCAACTGCACGAGCCTTGAGAAGGATGTCAGGGTAAGAGCACTCGCAAATTCTGCGTCTTTACGTGAGTGGCTATGTTATATATTCATGTATCCCAAACATTGATTGAAAACATGACAACAACTTTACATGTGTGTATTCTTGTAAAATTATACCCCTATGTAATCATGGCGTGCACAGTAGAGAGTGAGGGGGTGAGAGAGTGAGCGAGAGAAAGAAAGAGAGAGAGAGAGAGAGAGAGAGATAGAGAGAGAGAGAGAGAGAGAGAGAGAGAGAGAGAGAGAGAGAGAGAAGAGAGAGAGAGAGAGAGAGAGAGAGAGAGAGAGAGAGAGAGAGAGAGAGAGAGAGAGAGAGAGAGAGAGAGAGAGAGATCTAGAGGAAGGGAGGGAGGGAGAGAGAGGAAGATGGCAGGCAGACGGGTAGCCAGGCAAGCGGCACGGTGGACGAATGGATGGATGGATGGATGGATGGATGGATGGATGGATGGATGGGTGGATGGATGGATGGACGGACGGACGGACGGATGAAAGGATGGATGGATGGATACATGGATGGATGGATGGATGGATGGATGGATGGATGGATGGATGGATGGATGGATGGATGGATGGATGGATGGATGGAT